AAACGTACAATTTATTTTCAAAACAATAAACCAATTTACTAACTTGCAATTTAATTGAGAACAAATCTTGCTTCATCACCCTAACAATTGAAATTATAAGTTTTAAATTAATTTACAGAATAACGAATCAGTTCACTAAGTTTGAAATTAATTTATTACTTTTAACATTAATCACCAGAAATTTGAATCTAACTGTTGGTTTCAGAATTAGTAGGTAACAAACGACAAATGTATAGCTTAAATTCTAAATTAATCATACAGCTTTCAAAACATATATAAATGTTTACAATCAAAGAGCTGATTTAATAATCAATTTATGCAACTTCCAATCTATTCAAGACCTCTGAAATCACTTACTAACGTTTACAATTTGCCGCCCACTCTGTTGTTTCCGGTCCGTGTGCAAAACTATTCAGGAAACTTCGAATCAATTCATAGGAGTAGGACTTGCAATCTATTCACTACACTTTCCGAACCAGCCAACTACAAACCAAACTCCAAATCAATTCATTCTAAAAGTGCCCGGATGCTTCAGCTCGGATGGATACGCTATAGTATTAGAGGATCCGATTTTTATCACCCTGCGGGAAAGATGTGTTTGTTTACAGCTGTACACTACAGTGTAGTGACAGTGTTGCCCAAGGAGCGTTCAGCGTGACGTCACGTCCAGGTAACGTGTGTAAACATAGCTCTGCTGGTTGGCAAAAGCGTTCGCCGGCACAGGCACTTGGACCGTCTCAATAAAAAAATAAAAAGGTAAATAAACACGAAATGTATTTATTACCAGTCTTAATGTTTCTCTACTCTATTTCACCTATAATCACCTGTAAATGCCGGTCAAATGCTCATCTGCAACACACAAGTACACCGCATGCACGCCCTGTGCTGCGTGCACAAACATGAATAAGAGAGCATAACAATAAAAGAGCATAAACAACATGAATAACATAACTCTATTATTCATGTTGTTTGTGCACGCAGCACAGGGCGGGCATGCGGTGTACTTGTGTGTTGCAGATGAGCATTTGACCGGCATTTACAGGTGATTATAGGTGAAATAGAGTAGAAAAACATTAAGACTTTGGTAGTAAATACATTTCACGTTTATTTACCTTTTTTTTTTTCATTGAAACGTTCCAAGTGCCTGTGCCGGCGAACGCTTTTGCCAACCAGCAGAGCTATGTTTACACACGTTACCTGGACGTGACGTCACGCTGAACGCTCCTTGGGCAACACTGTCACTACACTGTAGTGTACAGCTGTAAACAAACACATCTTTCCCGCAGGGTGATAAAAATCGGATCCTCCAATACTATAGCGTATCCATCCGAGCTGAAGCATCCGGGCACTTTTAGAATGAATTGATTTGGAGTTTGGTTTGTAGTTGGCTGGTTCGGAAAGTGTAGTGAATAG